AAACAACTCAAAATGTTCTGAGATATCAGTTGATAATGCAAACCTCAAAGAAGTTCAGCACGAAGTAAAAAAAAAGCACGAAAAAAGCAAGAAGAAAGCCCCAAATGTAAAGATAAGTTTGTGTTCAAACTACTTTTGTAGAATGCTTGTGTTAGTTATTTGGCAACAGTTTTAAAACCCATGCTATATATTGTTACGTCTCTGGTCGTTTATTAATTTCCCATAAAAATTCTTCCCGAGGAACTTCAGCGATACAAGTCCTTTCTTAAATAAAACTAAATACACAGAATTTCCACAGTCACTTTAACTTAAACACACGCTATAATTTACTATGATTTACACACTTTACTTACAGCTTGACTCAATTATCTGTCTCTATATCTCTCTTCAATCTGCTGTCTGCAATTCAATTCAGTTCCGATTAATTGTCTCGCTTTATCTGGCGCACTTATATACAGGAATAGAGGGCGTCTAGCAAATACTGGATTATTCGTGATGTTCCCCGATCCTTCTAGAATCTCATCATGTGTTACCAGTGTCGCGTGACTTCCACTGTCGTAACAATATTTATTTAATTTTTTAATCCCTACAACATTCTAAGTTTGTATAAACTGACATCTCTCTGTTCCGTAAAAGAAAAGTGGTTATTGAGCTACCACGGACATAGACATGCTGGGTTCCTGGCACTCGGGTGCCCACATTTGTTAGAGAGAAAAACAATTTTCTAGCTATAATTTGACATATTTGGCAAAGTACAAAAAAGTAGAACAAATCATACATATATTAATAGATACCTGCCATGTTGCCAGTAAGGAAAAGCATTCACTTGAGAATGATTTAAAAGTATGTTCTAGGGATGAGTCATTTTTGTCACGTTCTACACTAAACAGAGAATAGTGCATGAATGCTCTTGACAATCATCTACTGACACTTGCCTGATTATAACTTTGCCTAGATACAAGCGAAAATGTACATACTGTAATAAATTTACTTTGTCATTTTTTCGCCTTGGAGTTAATCCACTGTAGACGAAGTGAGTGTTATTGCCTATTATGTGTATATGAACGGATTCTGTATAAGGCTTGTTAACTATAATTGCGAATGGTGTCTCTGTAATTGCGTTTATTATGCCTAATGCCTTAAAACTTAATCACACATTATACTGTTGCGGCGCCATTTTTGAATGACATCACAGTTCAGTTTGCAGAGGTTTTGTCTTTTAACAAATATTTGTGACGTAAGCACGGATGATTATTCAGCATATACTCAAAATGAAATAAAGCAATATTTCTGTGTAAGTAATCAAATTTTCATGTTTGAAATTCTTACAAACGTTTCCATTTTATATTCAATAATTTGGTGTAATTGTTATTATAAAATGAATGTCATGAAATAATTTACACATGCCATAAATTTCCTTGTTAATTTTCTTTTAACAAGAACTAAATCAAACTAGCCAACTGTTAGGTTCAGAATAAATATATAACGCAGTATTACTGTGAGCTTAATTGAAAACAAAACAAAAAAGATAAGCAAATCATATACAAAGAAAATTATAATCCTGTTATATACTAAAATCATTTCTCCATCCCTAACGCACTTGTCAAAAACTCCTTGGAACTAAAAACTAATGGTGACCTACATTTTGTTCACTCTAGTTTTCTTTAATGTTAGTAGCACGTTGCTTCCAATTTAACTATTCTGTCAGGTCAGTTCAGCGCGTGAATGTTATTAATAAATATATATATATATATTTACAAACAGTTTTGTAAACACCATGCATTATACTTTTAAACTGTGAATGATGTATTTTCTAAATGGATGTAGATATAAGGGAAAAATGTGTGTGTGTAGGTTAGGTGTAAGAACTACTGTCGCTCTCCATATTTGTGTTTAAGAGTTAGTACGTGTTTACAACGTTGAAACATTCAGCAAACAACACAGATGTTATTAATGACATCCAGAACACTTATATGAAAACTTTGAAAATACACGAGTTTTTCAATACTAATTATGAAAGAGGTAAAATGTGACGATATAATATCATCATACTGCTATATCTGCAAAATGTTTCTTCACCAATGGCAATGTAAACTATGGTCCACTATGTCCTTCATTTTGTGCAGCACAGGTTATTCTCGCAACATTTTTTTTTTCTCTTTCTGAATGAAAAAACACATGTTTACAAATATTTTGGCTTTCGAATAAGCTGAGCACATCGTTTTACCAGAACCAAGTAAACACATCACACTTTGTGCTTTCTTTCAGTGTGGTATAAGCTAACCATTGTGGTCTTTGCCACGTATAATCACATATCAACATTCAAACCAGTTTCTTTATTTAAAATATTATACTCTTGTATATCTTACGTTTGTGTAAATACAGAAACTAGCTCATATGTAATGTAAATCATGCATGCATTAACACACATACATACTAGTGAACGTATACTTACACTATTTGACCTTACTATCCAGTGGCAACCCCAATAGCGGTGGAAACCAATGGCAACAGCGTTAACTCTTCCAGTAGAGGACAGGCGTAAAATCTTCAGTCTTCATCTATAGAGCCAGAACAACTCCAAGTCAAACGATATCACAAAAATAAAAGTAATCACAAAAGTAAACTAACAGAACTAGCTGTTCCTGCCGTCTTTCAGCATCCAGATCACACTTCATGTCGCCAACCACAATATATATATATGTATATATATCTAATGTAGAAGATTCACAAGGGACATGAGCAAAATAACAACCAAAGCCATAATATTTTTATACCAGTTCTACCAGCTAGTGGTCTGACAACCTATTACATTAGATAAACACCAAAAATAATTCAGAACAAATCTAGCAAAATGGTACACACTACTAAAACCCATACAAAATATCGTGGTTGCATCAGTTTACATGTGAGGTCACTCACAATCATCATCAAATTTAATAATTATTGGAAAGCAAAGGTTGCATTGTCCTTTCACTGGTATTTCAGAGATTTCTTTAACTCTTTAGCTATCAATAGTCAAATCCAATGGTCAGTATTTTCGGATCTTATCTGACGACCTCAGCTGTCCTATCTTTATTTGTCAAATATTGTGTTATAAAAACACCACTTAGACCTATCATACTGACGTCTATCTATCTATCTCTGCTCTGTAATCTGTAAAGTAGAAGATGTAATTTCCTTTAATTGTTTTTAAATCCTATTTTGATAAAAGAAGGTAGAAAACATACAGTGCTGGCGTACTGTACAGGTACGATCTTTCATGATGTGTAACCTTTATCTAAGATAGAAATTAGCCTAAGTTTGTAGTTTTTCTCGTCCTGTTCAGAAGGTCGCTAATTAACTGCTAAACGTTTACACGAATATTTTGAAAGATTTATCAGAATAAAGATGTACATTTTTCTAAATTCTATAAAGGTAAATATAGCAGTTGTTTTAACTGCTACACACATAAAACAACAAAACAAATATGTAGTTGTAATGAGCTCACGAAAATACTACAACTTAACAACTATCAGTCAAACATTTAATGCACAGCTACAAAAAGTAAACAACAAATGTATGTTACATATGTTGCATAACAATATAGTTAATATAATAAGATCCAGTGGTTGTGTGTGTGTGTCATATAACTCCTTCTAAGCCGCTAGTCTAAATGGTACCATACGAATCATCTCGGTCCTGAGGTTTGCACAAAGGTAACATTTTTTACCCCACCCATAGGGGAACCCGGAGATTTCCCGAAAACCCCTTATTCTAAACTGCTGGACTCACCAACTTCTAAGTGGTGCCAAACGAATCGTTTTGGCCTTGAGGATTGCTCAGAGGTAAAACTTTTCACCCAACCCCTTAAGGAACTCGGGTATTTACAAAATCAATTTTACGGGAATTCCCCGAGAGCGCCCCCCAAACTTGGCATTGATTTACATTAGAGCATGTAAAGAAGAACGCCTACTAATTACTGTTTGTAACTTGGTTGAAAAAATTAAATTTGCATTATAGCGGCAATGATCATTAGACTGAAGAAGTGCAAAATAGTAGTTCAAGCATTAAATTTGAATCATAGCGGTTCTGTAAATATGGGCCATAGGCCCACGGATTCGCTGATACTGTTATAAAACTTTTACTATTGTAGACAATGGATGCAGTTCATTTTCATTAAATTAACATTAAGTGAAATACAAAAAAACAAACGCCAATATACTTTCATTCCACAAGTGGCATGAGACTTTTTTTAGGTGGGGAGGGGGGGGGGAGAAAAGGCATTTGTGATTACAAATACTTTTACATATTTCTCCACCAGTCCACAGAATCCCAAAGTCCTGACCTTTTAGACCAATGAACTTAACCTATCTGTAACAATAATAAATACTACCCAGTAGGGCTGTCACTAGGTTGGTTGTTTACTTCGTATTCGAGGTAGGGTCTCTTAAACCATTGTAATATGTGTAATTTACGTGATTTATATTCCTAAGTTTAGGCCTGTTTGGTTTTAATACTTCGATAGCTTTCGGTGTTTAAACCGTAACTTTATTTATTTATTTTTGATTCATGCTTTTCGGACAGTATTTATTTGTATGGATAAAGTTGCATTTTGTCTTCTTTTTGAAAAATCTCACGCAGTTAGATTTTCTTTCACTTTTATATTGGCTAACTTTGTTTTAGGTATTGTAGATTTGATTGTTTGTTGCTAAGCGCAAAGCTACATAATGGGCTATCTCTGCTCTGCCCACCGCAAGTATAGAAACCTCCTTCGGGCTATAGATTTTAAAGAAAAAAAGTTAAAACATCAGCTGTAAACAAGTGCTCAGCCAGGCAGCGAGTTGCAAACGAACGCATGCGCTGCAGTAGCTGATGCAAGTATGTAGGACATAGGCCGGATGTATTAACTTTGTATCAAACTAGATAAATACAAATAAAATACCAGTCTTGACGAAGAAAACTTAAACAACAACGAAGAAGGTAAATTATTATTAACTATGACGGAGTAACTTTTATTAGATATGCTTTATCGTTGCCAGTTACTGAGAAAGATTTTATGTTTATATTTCATTCAGCGTAACTAGCTGAGTAACTCGGACTTTGGTAGAAAAACTAAGAACCTTTCGATTTCGAGGCACGAATTTTGAGCTCACGTAGCTATCGCGTATTGCTACAGTACGACGTGAGCCTTTAGTTGTGATTTTCCGCAATTTGTTTCAAGATCTTACGGGTAGGGTATGTACTCATCTTGAACGTTAAAATTTTTCGTCAGTTTACTACTGATATATGCAACTTACAGTTACAAGTTAGTACTACCTAATGAGTAACATATTAATACCAGATAGTAATTTATAAGTTGAAGTTAATTTGCGAATTATTCTAAGCCTACTAGTAATATACTAGACTAATAGTAGTACTTTATACCAGTAGTAGTACTGCGTGGTATTGGAGGTAATACTTTTACTAATATTAATAGTACTAGAAATAAACAAACGGTGATCTGATTACTAATAATATTATGCATTAAAGTAAAAAAAATAGTCATAATATTTAGTTGAACTAAATGCTAAATAAGTAAGTTAAATGTTAATTGTTAAACGCCACAGCAGAATCTATTCTATTTCTAGGTAAATAAGCCATAAGGTCACAAAGAAAAAAAAAAGTCAGTCGGAAAAATAAAGACAAATAAAGTTACATAAACAGATAAAAAAAAAAAAAAAAAAAAAAAAAAAAAAAAAAGTCAAAAAAGTATTTTGGAAAACAGCATCAATAACAGCCTGTAAACCAACTAAGTTAATATTTAAGCTGTTATTAATACTGTTTTTTAATCAATAGCTTCTCCTTACACTTGCAGGTTTCCCATTATAGTTCAACATTTGCTATTAAACTCCTACTGTTTATCCTTTCTTATAATTTGTTTGCTTTGTGCATACATATATATATATATATATATATATATTTACCTGTTTGTGTAATTTTCTGTGTCTTTATTCGCAATTGTTTATAAGTTAGACTCAATAATATAAGTATTACTGTATTATAGTTTCATACAAATTTGCAATGTATCAGTTAGTTATTTTACATATTTGAAAAGAAACTTTACTAATTATTATGGACTAGTAATAATGTACAGATAAAATGGGAACATTTGATCCTACAAGGCTGGCCTTGAACACTTGCCCTTGGGAAAAGTATAAACTATGACCTATCCTTTATTTTTATGAATATCATATATTCTGCTTATAAACTCTTTTAAATATTTATCTCTTATCTTTGTTGAAGAATTACTTATATTGACAAGGGATAGGATCTATACTTAGATTTGCAAAAAGCTTTTGATAATGTGTCACATAAAAAATTAGCTAAGAAAACCATATTGGAGGGATTGGGGAAAGACTAGTTAATTGGATTGTACAGTGGATGAAGGGAAGAAAATAAAAGTTTGTCATCAACTGAATGTGTGTGTGTGTGTGTGTGTTGGTCTAAAGTTTGCAAATTGGATTTGCATACCTCAACATTCCCCTAAGTGCATATCTAAAGTTGTATTTTCTGTATCCCTGTACATTGTATCTGGTATTTCCTCTACTCTAACACAAACTGTTGCAAAATCAGCAATGTGGGGTAATATAAAAGTTTAATCAAACATACAATTCATAATACCACATTGAATGGCACTCTGTACAAGAATGGGGCAAGCACACTTCACCTCCCACCTGTGCAGATAGGGTTAATGGAGTCCTGTCAAATTGGACCCTTGATACTAGAGGTCAGTGTTTGGATCTCTGTTTTTTCTTATTTACGTTAATGGTATTGATAGAGGCATAATTAACAAATTAGTGGCATTTATTGATGACATTATACTCTGGTATTTCTAGCAGGTGTGAGGATGTTGAGATATTACAGAACATAATGGATCAATTCATAAGTTAGACAGATATTATTTGGCAAATGACCTTTAATTGCAGTAAGTGCAAGGTAATATATTTGGATTTTCATAATGTTCAATATAGATGGGAACCTTCAGAAAAGCATCACTGAAAAAACTTGATATAATGGTGGACAAATTGCCCGAGCTCTCAAGGCAGTAGTCGATTGCTAGTAGTAAAGCCAATAGAATTTTTGTATGTATTTATAGACATTGATTACAACTCAAAAGAAGTAATCCTCTCTCTGTATAGGAATTGTCAGTTATATCTTACTTGGAATACTGTGTACACTTTTGACCTTGTTTAACAAAGGAGATGGTTCAAAGGAAGGTTACCAAGATGATTCCAGAGATGAATGGGCTATGTTGTGGGGATTAGTTAAGATATTTTTTCTTGAGAAAAGAAGGTTAAAAGTAATGTTATTGAAGTTTACAATATTATCTGGGGGATCTATAGCACAGAGGTCTCTGACTTGTGCTGTATTATGTAAATAATAGGATGACTGTTGGCAGTAGTAGAAACAAAAAAATATACTGCAGTTTAAACAGGGGATCAATGATTTCCAGTTAAAATAAAATTGGTTTAAATTTTTACTTTTTTCAATTAAAGATGTACAAAGACACCCATGAAGGACTAAATAGTCCCTTGCTGTCTGTATGTTATGCAGACTTTCTTAGTTTTGCAAATTATAAATTACATTGAAGATAGCATATAAATTATAGTAAGCCACCAAAATTGAATCAACCATATATGGAAGGTGAAAAGACATTTCAACTACCAGCTACAAAGAATGACCAGTGAAATACATTTAAGTAGTATTAGTTTTGACATGATTATAAAAAAAATTGTTTGCTTGATTAACAGTTAATATTGTTTTTGGTAGAAAATGATAAATAACTTAATAATAAAAAATTATTTTATTATTTAAAAAAAACAACTTTTAATTAGTGTCGGTTGACATGGAGAAAATATTTCTTTCCAAATCTTGGTAATTTTTGGGACATTATTTTTATACAGATATTTTCACATGTCATCATAATATGAATTGCCAATTACTAGGATATATGTTAGTACACAACTCAAATACAAAAGACAAAATATGGTGACACTGATATATTTAACTTAACCCACCACAAAAACATTGTAACCAAAGGTTATTTAACTCCAAAGTAAAAAGACAGTTTTCGAATGTGCTTAACTGTTGTCATACTGATTTGAGGTAACCTGAATAATTAAAAAAAATCTTCAAACACTAAATGACTTCTAGTGTATTTGCCTTCACAGAGCTTATGGCTTCATTTATCTTATTGAATCATCTAACTTTGTAACATCAGAGGCAATAAAACTATTACATTTTGTACTTTTTGAAAAAAGTGTTGCTTAAGAACATGAAAGATGATGGCAAGTGTTTTCTGACCCTTCAAGCACCACTAAGTTGGACAAACTATTCCACAAGTTAATTGTAAGAGAGAATGATATTTATTATGAGAACAAATCTGAATTGTTTCCATATTATACTCATTGCTTTTCAGGCTTAAGTCAGCATTATTGAATATATTCATTAAAAATTGAATACTCTTTTTGTGAATTAGTCTTCCATAAATCCCCCATCATCTTAATTATGTCTTCTAAACAGATGTTTAAACAACTCTATTCAATTATATCTTCTATTTCTGTTATGATAATTGCAAACATATTGAATTGTCTAAGCATTAAATTAGTGTTCATTGTGGTTACTCTTTTGTGCATTTTTTCCAGTAGATTATTTTTTTATTCTAAATAGTAAAATAAGGTAGTTTAAACTGTAAACAATTTCCAAGTGAGTATTAACTAAAATAATTTATAAATTGATAAAAATCCTGGTATTCTTCAATATAAAATTTTCTGGATACATCACAACTTGGCTTCCACTCACCAAACCCAGACACTGGTGAGGTTTCACATGTAAATTCTTTATCTTCTCTATAATAATAACATGTATATTTCTCACTTAAGCCCATTCTGTATTTAAATATCCTGAGTTCATGATACATTTTTTTTTTTTTATATTGAAATGCTTTTCCTCTTTCTTGAGCAGTAACTAAACATGTAACTAAAATTTTACAAATGAATAATTAGCATTAGGTTTTCCTTGTATTTTGGTATAAAAGAACAAAACAAAAGAACTATGTAATTCACAAACCACATTGTTTTTAAAATTGTTCATATGAATACTAAACAAATATTTTTGAAACAGATAATCATGTTCATCAAATCAGAGAATTAAGCATTTATTGCCAACCCCCTCTGCATTGTGTGGGCAAGCCAATTTTCAATGTACAGTTTTAATCTTTCAAGGTGCCTTCATTCAAAAAAAAGAAAGAAAAAGCCATCTTATAAAGAATAAGTTTGTGAGACAGGAAAACCGTGTGACTTTTAATATCATGACAGTTTTTCAAGATGATCTAGTGAAATGTTTAAAACATATAAAAACATTTATTTTCATTTTCATCCTCTATTTCCTTTATTTTTGTTCAAAGATGGTCTCAATATCTGTAATTTCTTTAAATTTTATGGTTTTTAATTAAAAACATTGCCACCAACATTTTTTTTACCATATTACAATAATTATCCAATACAAATGTGTAGAAATATAGTGATTTTTGCTGAATTTTTAATATAGGGGAATAATTCACATTTTGTTATCAGTATGATCACAACTAATGCATTAAAATTTGTCATTATACACAAAGTAATGAGTATAGAAATTTGCATTGATTACACAGGCCTGCAAATTTAAACTTCATAAAAGTTGTTTTGATTTTAATAGTGAATTTTCCATAATTCAGCTATGCAGATTTCAAAAATAATATTCATTTTTTTTTTCTATCACATAATGTTTTTTATACAAAATTCAGAAGAAGAAAAATCTTGCTTAGATCAAATTATAATTTCGTTTACCACAATAAAATTTTTTTTATTATCATGTTTGGGTTCTAGAATGATCAATAAGACTTATGTCGTGATTCATCTAGAGAAATCTATAGCCAGTGGTGGCCAACATTTTATGTGTAAAAAAATGTGACCCAATTACAATGAAAACGATTCACTTATGTATGTGATGGAGAAAAATGTCATTTTTGTATTCAGCATAGAGAACATGTAAAAATTTCAAGACAATAAAACCATTGCAGGTCTGTGTTATTAGTCAAATGGAAACTATACATGTACATTGAGCACTACATTGTGGTTTTGAAATCACAGTTTGATCTATATTTTAAAAAAAAATGACCCCTTAAAATTTTTTTGCAGTAGTCCACTAGGTGGCTT